CGGAGCCTCCCTCATCCGCCACTACCAGTTCGCCCGAACCAGAGACAACCGGCTGAATACCACCTCTGATTTGTTTACTCAAGTATCATATATTTATTCCACGCAGTGCAATCTGCGTGCAATCATTCTGAACTGATTGATATATAGAAATGAGGAAAATGTGACCGTTGTTTTTGTTTGCTTTTGTTTTGATGGCACTCAACATTAGGTATACTTGGTCTCTTGTAAGACAGTTCTACAACCTTGTTGTATACTATCCCAGGACAGTTACCTCTTATACTCCATGAGTGGTGCCCATTCATTACCATTTGGGAAGCAGAACAAGGGAATGGCCTGAAGCAACCTTTCCTCTTCTTCACGCTGCCCTCTCAGTAGATTCTCACGCTGAAACACAAAGCAGAAAGTAGATAGAATAAAGTTGTAAGGGAAACTTTTTTGCATTGATACTTTCGACTCAGTGTTGACTCCTGAAAGTGCCTGGACAAGTCCCTGTAGTTTTGGCAAGATTTTGGAAATGGTTTGCCATTGCCTGCTTTCTAGGGCTGAGAGGAAGTGACTGACCAAAGGTGACCCAACTGGCTTTGCACCTAAAGCAGAATTAGAATTCACAGTCTTCTGGTTCCACGCCTTAACCATTACACTAGACTAGTACTTTCCTTATGACTTAATTTTAAAAAAACCAATGTCTGGGTTTGTTAAAGATGCAAAAGTGAAAAACCACAAGTAAAGAAGTGTCCGCTAACATGAGTCCGCTTACAGACTCATATTTAATTGTATATGGTATGTGTACTAATGTATAACTATTTTTGGAGACTTGACATAAGGCTCAAGGTCATCCACTTTTGTCAGGACTAATGTCAGAAACAAAACTTTCAGTTCTTTTAAACAGATAATGTAAAATTATAAGATAATATTCATAAATCACTTTTCACATTCTCAATTGACATTCAATAATAATTATTAGCAATATGTAGGCAAATATTTTTTATAATTTCTTTTCCAAATTCATGGTTCAACAAGAACATATTTTTAATCTCCATATAATAAATATTGGTCGGTCTTTAAAAAATATGATTGTCTCTAAGAAGAAACAAAAACTGGTATTATATTTTTAGACTCTTTACTCAGTGGTAAAGTAGATGTTTTGTGGGGGGGGGGGGGAATCCAATTCACACTCTGGCATTTCCAAGTAAATAGCAAATATTAATTAAATACACTGTGATATTTCCCAGATGTATTTTTAATAATTTTCTCTTTCTGTCATGTTAAAAATTACAATCTGATTTTAGTGTTTAGAAGCTCATGAAGGTCACTTCCAAGTGACTTTCTGGAGGCTACATGTAATCCCAATGCTGTGGGCCTCTGACACAGAAGATAATCAGAAAATACCAAAATCAATAGTACTTAGACTTATATACCGCTTTACAGCCCTCTCTAAGCAAAAGATCTGAAAGCTGCTTCTATTCAGAATAAACATTACTATTTTGACAGTGTGATTCAGTATACAGCTTCCTAGACCCCATATACATACAATCTGGTTTTTACTCAACACTAAGCAGGGTTTTTACTAAAGGGAAAAAAAACAGTAAATGACTTGCAGAAATTTAGACATGCTCCTACATACCTTTCCTTCTATGTGCACCCAATCCTGAAGCAGAACTTCATTTAAAGAAACCTTCTCCTCAACAGAATGTAAACTGATCTAGGGATTTCCCCATTTGCAGCTAACCACAGCACAAAATCTAGCAATATCTTTTTCAGGGCCCCCTTAATATTGCCATTATTGTGTTTTATCTCAGCCCTTGATTGACATAGTTGTAAATCGGCATTAGTTTATTTTCCTTAATACTCCAACTTTGTCCAAGGACAGTTTTAATATATATAAAATCCACTAGACTTTGTCACTCCTTCCTTTGAAAATAAATCAGATGACTGCAGCAATGTGAAAAGAAACAAAAGAAGAAGGGCAGGTTCAGCAATGGAAAAACTAAATGTCATTGTGTTATACTTTCTCGGGGTGAAAGGTGGATGAGTTGCATTTCAGCTCAATAATAGGGAAAGGCTTCTAAGTTGATTATTAATCTAAGCAACAGATGCTGTATTTGATGCCTCCAAAGAACATCTTAGGAGCAAGGTCATACCCGTAGTAAAACATTTAAGAGCACCTGCTCAGGAAAGAAAGAGAAGTGGAACAACAGATTGCATCTTAAGCATCTTGTATTAACATCTGGTGGTTTTGGTGGCTTGCGCCATTTTTCAGCCAGTTGCACTAAGGCAAGATAGATCTTTAAGTTATTCTTAAGAAGCAATCATATACTTCCTCTTGCTACATAGGCTGAGTGATGAAAATATATAGTCAAATAAACTGAAGTTGCTGCACTATGAAAGGGACCCATATGAAGCAAAGCCACAAAGCAAAAGAAAAGATGATGAGGCCCAGATGATGAAAAATAGAAAATAAAGGACACAGATTCTAACTAAGGAGAGGATTACTTTGGGAAAAATGCAATTAGACCAACACAACCTAAGCTTTAGCAGACATCCATGCATTTTTTTTGTTAGAGGACAGATAGATTTCATGTAGTCTCGAATAATACAAACTGTTTGGCCATTGCAATATTGATGCCTTCTTTATATCTATGTTGGCTAAAAGTTGCCCTGCAAAAGGTTTCTTAATTTTATCTATCTAGAAGCTCTGACATCAATCAACCACTCTCCCTTAATGCCTTTAGATAGGCTCTAATAAGGTAAAGGTTCCCCCCACACAGATGTGGTAGTCGTTCCCGACTCTAGGGGGCGGTGCTCATCCCCTTTTAAAAGCCAAAGAGCCAGCGCTGTCCAAATATGTCTCCGTGGTCATGTGGCCAGCATGACTAAATGTCAAAGGCACATGGAACGCTGTTACCTTCCCACCAAAGGTGGTCCCTATTTTTCTTCTTGCATTTTTTTATGTGCTTTCGAACTGCCAAGTTGGTAGTCAGTCCATTACGCGGCGCTAGGGATTTGAATTGCCAACCTTTCTGATTGACAAGCTCAATGTCTTAGCTACTGAGCCACAATGTCCCTTAAAGGCCTTAATAGCAGGTACTAATGTGGATTTATTCCGTGTTGTCCTTCAGCACTGCTCTAGGCATCTCTTCAGCCATTTCATTCCTTCAACTTATTGATAAACTCCAAAGCACCACAAAACAGTGGACAGCATCACTTACTGAGATGTACCACTGAGTATCATCCACACATTCATGAAAGCTTATCTCATGACGAGGGATAATCTCACCCAGAACCTTCACATAGATGTTAAAAAGTGGAAAGAGAACACTGGGTGAAATGAAATTGGGGCACAGACAGCCATGGCTGTTGCTGCAGGTTTTGCCACATATTTATCTCTGAGAAATATTTGAAAGGCCCCTTTCCCCACAACGTTCTAATTTCTACACATGATGGAATAATTATGTTCATACCTTACCTTTGGAAATTGATAGGTAATCTTGGGCTCATAATTTCCCTTTGTGTCCCTTTTAAGTGAGACCACAACCAGATATTCAAAAAATGGGTGTCCAGCTGAATGAGAAAAACTGCTTCTTTGTTTCAGCCTTACATCAGCACCAGATTTGCTTTCTGTAGGATTTACATCCTGGGAGTCACCTGTAATGCAAAACAACAGCAAGGCTATCACTTATAATTTGAGAAATGTAAAATGTAGAAAGATCAGACGGACATTCCATGTCAAGGAAAGAGAATTATCTGCCTTGAAATAAATGCTTCTAAAGGTAGCAAACTGAAACCATTCCTCACCATTTTAGAACCTATCTGCTGCCTATAGACACCTGCAAGTGCATAAACATTTGCCCTAGCTTCTTATTAGTAATGCATAGCTAGCAAACCTTTATAGCTATCAGGCACATTAACAGTAGCCTCACCTCCCATCCTTATTACCTGTTGCTGCACACATCCTCAGTCTTTATATAAAATGTCCCCAAGAAAGCTTTGATGATCTGAACCATCTGCTCACAATTTTTGTCTTAGGGTTCCTGCCTTCAAAATAACCTGCTCTGAATCGAGAGTATTCTACGTTCACCTCTACGCTGACACTTGGTCTCTTAAATGCCTTCACTGGCATCCACTTGGCAGGTAGATCCTACATAAACGTATCTTGCTTCCTTCAGGGTTTCCTGGAATGGATGCTGTTATTTCTATGGTGGCAATTTTTCATTAAAGTTGCTTTCAACTGTGTTTAATTGCATTTGCCTACCACTGTGTAGTAAGAATCAGAAAACCATTATAAATCTTTATCTATGGATCAGAAAGGAAGAAAAGAAAGAGCAGAACAAGAGTCATTTTGTGTGGGAGATAAACAAAAAAATAAATAATATGTATATATAAATGCAAAGAGGTTCTTCTGCATTAGTCAAATAATAAATTACAGATAATGACTGCATGAGGCTGCATGTGGCAATATAACTTTTGCCAATAAGTGGATTCAACTGCCTGAAAAGGGGGGGGATCAAGTTTTAAATATACAAGGCGTGTAGAGGAAAATCCTTTCTGTGTTTGCTTTAGGCAGCTGATTCTATAGATAAAGAAGTGTGGAACATCATTACCAACGCAGAAACAAATCTGGGAGAAGAACACATTTCCAAGCTGCCATGTAATCAAGTCAGCACCCAATACCCTTGACCTCTTGTACATCAGCTGCATATGAAAAACATGCTAAGGCTATAAGCCACCCTTAATTAACTACTTTGACTGTGGTTATTGGGCATGCTCAGCACAGACCAACCAATTATATTATAGCTTTTAAGAGCACGGTTTATTTCACACAACACTGTAATGGCTATTTTGCTCAAGACATTAGAAAAATATAAATTAAACATATAAATATTATCTGAAAACTGTAATTTAATCAAATGTGGTTGTAAGACTCAATTATTTGAACCGAATATAGTTGAACAAAGTATAGTTGCCCACTTGTTCCTCTATTCTATGTAATGTCAGTGAAAACCCTCCAATTAGAATTTTAGAATAATTTAAATATTGACAGCATAGCCCCATAGATTTGCCCACATTGATTGATGCTATCGAAATCAACTAAATATTTTCTTTTGGTTAGTGAGGAAATACCAAAATAAGAGGAAGGAAGGAGCAGAATTTACAATGAATTTTTAAAAGACTAAAGCTCTGTTCATCAAAACTGCATTCAAGATAGGATTTAAAAAACTATTGCTTTATGATTTGTAGTATAGACATAAAATATGCTACTTCCAAGATATATTTCCAATGGTATGCTAAATTATAATTGGTAGTTCATAAAATTAAAGTCAAGCTTAGTAAAGTACTTATAAAACCCATTTTGGAGAACTGCACCTCTAAAAATGTTTATACTTCCCAAATTATTACACCTTTTTAAGATATAGCTGTGTCTTTAACCCATAAAAATCCTAATAGCATGTAAAATTTATTTAGAAAAAGTATATTCCAAAAGAAAAGGTATGTATAAATATAAAATTATTGTAGGGTAAGATCTCAAAAGCATGGAGATTTTCTAATGTACTGTATGATTTAGTTGAAACTTCTATTACTTTTAAATATAAGCTTAAAAATCAGGAGGGGAGGAATCAGAAAAAAATGTGATCTGAAGAATCACATTCCTATTGTCAAGATCAGGATATAACCTTATTTCACAACAAAATAGACCTAAAATGTTCTGAAGAGGGCTTGTAAAGTTCCTTCTTAAATTGCACAACTGAAATCTGAAAAAGTGCCACCAAATATGAATACTGTCTTCTTTGTCACTATTGGGCAACATTCTTTTTTAGTTAAAGATAAAGAAGAAGAGAATTGCCACTGCCCCAAGATCTACATCCAACCTTTTTCTTACCATGACTAGCTGGGGAAGAATGGGAGAAAATTGGGGAGGGGGGTGTTGATGGTTACTTTAGTGCTAATGCTCACATCTCCCTGGGTGTTCATTCCATGGTATCAGAGAGCAAAAGCCTATGTGCAAGAGATTTCTGGACTAAAACACCTGTAGGCTCTTTTTTATACATTTTTGTTAATGTTTCCTCCTTCTGCGCTATAGGAAAAAAACAAGATGTAGAACCAGCCCTGGAATTTGGCAAATCAGCAAAAGCTGCAAAACTCATATGCACACACACACCCAGAGATTAATGGGCTCTTCACTTCAAAGGTTTCCACTGAAGACTTGGAATCCTGTGAGCAGTTTTGAAGTGCTATCTCATCCATCAGATGAAATGCCAGAGTCACCTCTTCCTAATGAGGACAACAGCCTCCTGTGGACTAATGACTTCCAAGAAACTATTGCCTCTGGTTAAGTGTACCACCCATTTTAAAGGTTGCATTTGTATTTATGTTTCCAATGATGCTCCAGCTGACAAACTAAATAACACCCTAACCATATACACATACCCATCAGATTGCTTAGTAAAATGCTGTATTTTAGTTCTCTGACTCTAATAGCAAATAGCAACTATTTCTGTAACAATTGACAATCTGAAGAAATCCTTTGATGCCCATCCAGGATTCTTACAGAAAGCAAATTACAAAAAGATTCTATCCTCATGTATCAACGTAAGCAGTTGTTCTTCATAACAGCATGAATGTGGGCAGATTGAAATCCAGAGACCTTGAGCAAACCAACTACTTCACTGTCAGCTTCATGCTACGGACATCGTTCATATGAAATGCTTCCCAACAAAAAAAGGGGGAGATTCAGTTGCTTTTCAGAAATACTACTACCAGCACTTTTAATAAACAGGATCTTTTTAAGGACTATTTAGAATAATTACCGCTATTGGGGAATTCTCTGATGACAACATGAAGCCTCTTCTAAACAACATTACATCAGCTTACTCATTCCAAAATGCTGTGTCTGTCTCCCCCTTCCTTTTCTGCTTATCATGCTTTGAATAACTGGAAAAAGGGGAGGAGAGGGAGAGAGAGTTGCCAAGGTTGGAAACCCCTGCCCCGGAGTGATCACTCTGCAGCAAAAAAGACCAGAGAGCAGAAGACCCTCTTATCTTCTGCTTCTAGTAACTAGCATAAAAGAGGATATTTTCCATCCACCACTTTTTTTCCCCACCAATTCTGTTGTTACTTACCCTATTTCTGAGACACACCTTTTACTTATCAATAGCCTCACATAAACTCTGAAAACATTAAGAGGTTCTAAATTCATTCCAATTCAGAAAAAATGGAAAGGGGTAAATGCTTTACAGGTAGCCTTGACTTAGCACCATTCATTTCCTGAAGATTTGAAGTTATGAGAGTTCTGAACTAAGGTACTTATGACCCATACCTGCAGTTATGGCTGTGGTAGCACCCCTGTATCAAGTGATCAAAATTTTGGGGGTTGGCACCCCATCCAAATTTATAACACTCATTTATCTCCCCCTCATCTATGCCCTTTTGGCCCCTTGCTAACCTGCGCTCCACTGCCCAGCTGACCTTTGCCAGTTTCTTACTCCTTCCTGCTGACGAGGAATACATGGCCTGGCTCTTCCTGAGGCAGCTGTTGGCAACGTGAGGCAGACTCCCCCAGGTCTTGGGAGAAAACCACTGAAGGGAAGAAAGCCTCACCTGGCCAGCAGCTGCCTCACAAAAAGCCAAGCTGGGCACCCCTCATCAACAGTGGAGCAAGAAGGTGAAGATCAGCTGGGGCCTTGGAGTTCAGGGCAGCAGAGGCTACTCTGGCCGGGCCAAGGTAAGGCTAGGCTTCACCCAGCACAAAAGGGCTTCCTGGTGCATCATGCCACTGAGGTTTTTTATAGCCTCAGAGCTACACCACACCAAGAAACCTCTTTGTGCCATACGAAACCCATCCTCATTCCGAGTCCAGCCCAACAGCACCATGCAGAGGAGCTTTCTGATACATCACAGCTCAGGGGCATTTTGCAGTCCCAGATCCACAAAGCATCAAGAAGCGCTTGAGTTGCAGTGTATTCTTTCCCCAGCCTTCCTGAGCTCAGGCCGCACTACCACACCACTCCTCCTTCAACTTGTGCATAACCTGCGCTGTCCCTCCCAAGGCGGCAACCCCATGCTCCTTAGCTGGGATTACCTCCACTTCCTGCTTAACTTGACGGCAATTGAGACTGCAGGGACTGCAGTCGTTAAGCAATGCAGGACATCTTGCTTTAGGGCCATATCACTTGATGGAAATTCCAGTCCCAACTGTGGTAATAAACCAAAGATTATCTGTACACAGAACTATAATCTGTGTTTGACTTTGGCTGTTACGTAAATTGCATTCAATTTGCAGTGTTGCATTAATCCAGTCATTGTGTTGTAGACAAGAAACATTTACTTTGTGAACAGAACATAAAGGTGAGTTGTTAACCTGCCCCACATGTGCACTTCCTGGTTCCTGATACAAAGTTGTTATATATCTGAGTTTACTTCATACTTGACATAAAATAATCCCAGCCTTGAATGAATCCATTTGTGCTCCCCAATACGCACTGTCATACACTTATTCTTAATCCTTTTCAATAATGGGAACTTGAGTTTCTCAGCAAGTAACTTTGTTGAATGGCCATTCAGCATGGAAAAATCCGGCAGTTGCCAGATCAGAGGTATTCTTAAAGGCCAGGTATACATTATAGCACAGATAAAAGAGGCCAAGACCTTTTACACTTTATAATTCTATAATAAAATAGAATAACCTTGCTTTAACCAAACAAGCAATTAGAATTACCATCAATACTTCACCCAAAAGTATATGGTGAAAAAAAAAGCTATAATCAATTTATTTGTTAAGGTCTCTTAGATCTCATTGCTATTTTCCCTCCAACTTGATCACATTCTGTCAAAAAAATGAGTAGCTAAAGTTTGGTGAAGCGGAAACTAAGCTGCACAAAATAAGCTTCGTTTCTGCATCCTGTCTCTTATTTTCTGAAAACTCAAAATCAGCTCGAATCTCTAGCTGCAAAAAAAAACAAAAAAAAAAAACATGTTGTACCTTAAAAGTCCATCCAAACAATTATCACAGAGACTTTTACGATCAGGTATAAAAACCCAACCTGGCAGCTTCACAGTTTATTTGCTGCCCGTTCACTTTCATTCATTCAGGCTTATTCCCAAAATTCCTCCTTCCAGTTTTCCCGGTTATTCCAAACGTTTCCTTCCGATTTCGTCATATGAAGTACACAAGGGACTTTCCTACCGTGAATTTATCGGAAGCATTTGGGGGCGGGAGGGGGAGGACACCACTCAGTGTCTGACCAGCCGTCGAGGGGGTGAGGGGGCAGAGAATAAGGGCAGACCCAACACAAACTTGGCATGGCCGTTTCCGTCGCTCCCCACTCCAAAAAAAAGAACTTCTGCGGGGACGGCTCACCCCACGGCGCGAATTCACTAACAGGAACGCTGTTCTCCCCCGAAGAGTTTGAACTCTAACAGAGCAGGGGGAGCAGGAGCGAGGAGACCGAAGGGAGGAAGAGAAGGAGACCGACGGCTGGGCTGGCGCCAGACTGACGGACAAGTGGGAGGAAGAGAGAGCTTGGCCGGTCCTGCCCCTTAGGCTCACCTCTCCTAGACGTCCTCCGGACCAGGCTATTTCGGAAGAAGCGGACGAACCTCTCCCCCGCCATGCCGCCAGCGGCTCGCTCTCTACCGCACCGCGCTGCCGCCGTCTCGTCCGACTTAAAAACTTTTGCACCTGGGAAAAGTGAAAGCAGCGGCGGCGGCGGCAGCGGAGTCACCGGGCGGGAGGAGCCTTCGGGAGGCTGGGAAGGAGCGCGCTGCAGTTCCCGAGCGAGGCGATGGGCGGAGAGCAGAAGCCTCTGGGGGAACAACACCTGAAGGACGGCCGCCAACCAGGAAAACACCAGGCCGCCACGTGCCTCGCTTAAATTGAGACACAAGCCTGCACGCATTGGCTGTGGCTTTCCGGGTCGGCGCAGCTTCATTCCGGACTCACCAGAGGCTTGCTCATACATTTGTACACCGCTGCGAGACTTTGCCTTTCCTTGTTCTACGTTTATCTTTGGCCATGCTACTCGGGAGCTTTTTAATCAGAATATGTAATATTTAAAGAAAAAAAAACCTGCCAATTTCCTTGATATCTTACATGGCTCCTGTGGGCTGAAATGAGATTTGCCAAATTTTATTCTTTAAAATGTCTTTTGTGAAAGGAAGGCACAAAATATACTTAATTTATCACTTTCAAAGTTATAAAAAAAAAAACCTTGACTTGCACCCCACAACCTGGAGAAATGCAATACAGGTGCTAAGATCCCCTGTTTTTCTAAATCCAAACTTTTCTTAAATAGTAAGCAGGGCAAAATCAAACAGCTCATGGGAGATCACAAACACACACATGTGATTCCCCCATATGTGAGCACCTCCACAAACACTGCAGGTAGTCCTCAACTTAAGACCACAATCAATGTTTATGTTGCTAAGTGAGACATTTGTTAAGTGAGTTTTACCTCATTTTACGACTTTTCCTGCCACATTTGTTAAGTGAATCACTGCAGTTGTTAAATTTAAAACAAAGTAACTTCCTTTATCGATTGCGGAAATACTGTAGCCATGACATTCTGATTAGCAAGCTAATAAACCTGATTATCAAAATATATGGGCTGAGCGGCATTTCTGTTGTGTGCACATTAGACAATCAAATTGAAAGAATACTCACTTGGATTTTTGGAATGTAATATTAAATGGCGTGCCACAATATTCAGTCCTGAGTCCTATACTTGAAACATTTTTATTAAAGGGCTTGGGTGAAGAAGTGGGAAATTACTTATAAAATTGGCTGGTTATGTAATCTGAGTAAAACAGCCACATAAAGCAAAAACTCAGATTGGTCTTAATAGGGTAGAAGCAGTTTTTCTCAATCTGTGGTCCACCAAAGCTTGAAGAAATGTTATGATTTATATCTTGAGTTAAATCTTTGGGGGGGGGGTCCTTGGCCATGGTCCTCAAAAGATATTTAAAGGGGGTCAGTGGTAAAGTAAAGGTTAAGAACCTTTGGACTAGAGGATAACTTATTAAAATTGAATAGACAATGCAAAAGTCTTCATTTAGGAAATAGAATTCCAATGAAGTGGATGAAGAGTGGTATATCTGCCTCTGTGAAAAAGTTCTTGGAAAAGTTGCTTTCAAACTGCATCTGAGTCAATAAAATGGTGTTTCTACAAAAAAAAAGCCAGATGAAGCACCAAAAAGAGGTAGTTTCCAAATCAAAGGAAGCACATTTTGTAATTCAGTACGTTAGTGTACTGTTTCCACAGCCCCTATGCCTTCGTTTACTCCAACAGAGGTCAAGGGTCATGAAGTCATTTCCTTGTTTCTTACCAGTCAGACCTGTAAAAGGCAAGCACTGCATTGCTCTTTTACCACAGGCATGCATAGATTATCTTTCAAGACAGTTTTTAGTTTGTTTAGGATTCAATCATCCTGTGGTTTGTTTGGCCTGCCCAGATGGACAAGGATATTTATTGCTGGGGCAAAACAGTTATCAGAACCATTTTGGGTATCTCCAATTCAAGGCTTTACACCTTAGGAAGAATTCCTGTAAAGGGGGATTAAATGATTTGGGAATATTAATTGTTAAATTGATTTACCTGGAGATATGTTACTATTTTGAAAATACCTAAAGGTAACTTATTGTTCCACAGAGTAGGAGGATATTATATTCACAGAAGGATAAAGGTTGCTCTCCCTTGTCCCAGACTGCAAGATACAAAATAGTGCCTTTAAGTTATAGGAAGATAGATATGAAATGAATTTTAGAAAAAAAAAGGTTTCAACGGTCACATTTATTTGACGTAGGATAGATGGCCCTCTGTTAGGAAAATTTCAATGTGGATTCCTAAGGATGTGTAGCTGGCATTATTATGTAGCTGGCTGACAATTCGTACTCAATGTTTAGTCCTCAATGGAATTCATCAAATTTCCAGATGATACTAAGCTGGCAGGAATAGCCAACATTTCAGAAAACAAGCTCAAGATCCAAAAAGATCTTCACAGATTGAACACTGGTCCCAATCTAACAAAATGAAATTCAAAACGTAGATAAAAGTAACATTTTACACTTAGTCAGGAAAAACAACTGTATAGGTATAGACTAGCTTAATGCCAGTAAATGTGAGAGAAATCTTGGACTCGCAGTGCATAATCATTTAAATATGAGCCAAAAGTGTGCTGCAGCAGCCAAAAAAGCCAATGGAATCCTAGGCTGCATTTATAGAGGGATAGAATCAAGATCATGTGAAGTTCTAATACTGATTTACAAAGCCTTAGCAAGACCACACTTGGAGTACTGCATCCAGTTCTGGTCACCACAATACAAAAACGATGTAAAGACCCTGGAAAAAGTGCAGAGAAGGAACAAAAATGATTAGGGGGCTGGAGGCTAAAACATAGGAAGAACGGTTGCAGGAATTGGGTATGTATCTCATGAAAAGAAGGATTGGGGGGGGGGACATAAGAGCACTGTTCTGGTATTTGAGGGGCTCCTACAAAGGTGGAACTATTTTTCAAATACTATGGGAAGACACACACACACACACACCGGAAAAATGTAATATTTTGGAAAATATTAAAAAGGCAGAATATTATATTTCTCTAAAGGAGAAATGGAGAAACATACTCTTAAAGACAGAAAGCAGTCCCTAAGTCTTTCTTAATAGCCTACAGCAGATGCCAGCACTTAAGAGATAAAGAGCTTATTGAAAGAGGAAGGCAAGTATCAAGACAGCTCTATTCCACTGGTGGGATTCAAAAATGTTTACTACCTGTTCGATGGGCGTGGCATGGCTTGGTGGGCGTAGCAGGGGGAAGGTTACTGCAAAATCCCCATTTCCTCCTCATCAGCTGGGACTCGGGAGGCAGAGAATAGATGGGGGCGGGGCCTGTCAGAGGTGGCATTTACCGGTTCTCCGAACTACTCAAAAATTCCACTACTGGTTCTCCACAACTGGTCAGAACCTGCTGAATACCACCTCTGCTCTCTTCATAAGCAAAGCAAATTATCCAGGCAGAAAACCATTCAAGACAGGATATTTTGAAACTGATTGCAGCACAGTTAACAAAGGCAGAATGATAGGTTTAGAAAGCAGCCCTTCACCCAAGATCTGACACAGGATTAAAAGTATTAGCCACAATAGGAATTGCCCAACACCCTTTCAGAACACAAGCCCCTTCATTGCACCACCCCAGAACAGTTAAAATTTCGAAGTCACACAAATCTATAAAGATCCATCCACTTATTGAGCCATTTGTTCAGCTGACCCAGAACTGTGCACTGTCTTTTTGGTTCTGTTCAATAAATCAACTTTCCAATCAGCCTCTATGTTGTTTCCAGCTTCTTTCTCCCAGCTTGGAACTGAACCAGATGGATAATTCTTCCAACAGTAGCAAAAGGCAAGATAAGAAACAATGGTTGGGAACTAACCAAGGAGAGAAACAACCTAAAACTAAGGAGAAATTTCCTAACAGTGAGAACAATCAACCAATGGAATTGTCTTCAGAAATTGTGGGTGCTCCATCACCGAAGGCTTTCAAAAAGGGATTGGACAACCATTTGTCTGAAATAATATAGGGTCTCTTGTTCAAACAGGGTTGGACTAGAAGATCTCTGAGATTCCTTCCAACTCTATTGTTCTATGCTCTACTATAATCCTCTTTTAACAGAAGGTGCTTGGTGGATGTGCAATACTACATTCTATGCATGAGCAATTTAGTGCATGAAATAGATCATTTAATTGGTTCATGTCCAGTCAAAGCTTATGTATTTTACTTGGTCAAAGACCCACAGTGTATGTTTTAGGCAGAAATAATTTGCGGTGAGAAGAGAAAAAGGAGTATCAGTTACAGAGTACAGTACAGACTTACTACCACAATTGACCCCAACATTTGTGTTGCTAAGTGAGACATTTGTTAAGTGAGTTTTGACCTATTTGATGACCTTTCTTGCCACAGTTGTTAAGTGAATTGCTGCAGTTGTTAAGTTAGTAACACGCTTGTTATGTGAATCTGGCTTCCCCATTGACTTTGCTTGCCAGAAGATCGCAAAAGGTGATCACATGACCTCAGGACACCGCAACCATCGTAAATATGAGTCAGTTGCCAAGCATCTAAATTTTGATCACGTGACCATGGGGATGCTGCAACAGTCATAAGTGTGAAAAATGGTCATAGGTCACTTTCTTCAGTGCCATTGTAATTTTAAATGGTCACTAAATGAACTGCTATAAGTTGAGGACTATCCGAATAGCAATGACTAAGGAGTGATAGGAAAACGAAAGTCCTAGGACAGTGATGGCAAACCTTCTTGGCACTGAGTTCCCAAACTAGTGTGCTTGCGCATCGGAAACCTGAAGACCAGTTGACCGGCGCATACATGTGCACCCACCAGCTGGTCTTCACTTGCGCCGGAGCGCCAGAAACCCAAAGGAAAGCAGAAGACCAGCTGGCAACGGTGCACGTGCCCACAGAGTGCTACCTCTCTCACACATGCTATAGGTTCACCATCATGGCCCTAGGAAGATAAGGGGAAAAGAGAGCTGGATGTGTGATGGTATCTAAGGTAGGTGAGGAAAAGATGGCACTGGAAAAATAGAGTCATCAAACATTAATTCAAGCATAATTTGAATATAGCATAATATCCAGCACAACTGGCCCATCTTCTCATGTCTGCATTTTCTTAGAAGCTTCCTTTCCCCACTTTTTTTTAACCACAGACCATGTGTTGCCACCAACGTGTGTGTGTGTGTGTGTGTGTGTGTGTGTGTGTGTGTGTATTACATCCTCCTTCTAAATTTTTCTGG